TTCTTCATGCGCTTTACACCAATATGATCTAAACGGCAGTGCCACAAGTATGTTGGACTATCATTATCAACTTTGCATCTTTTGGCATCAATATTATTAATATGTGTATCACTACGATCAAGATTCAATAAACCATTTATATTAAGTGTATGACCATAGAAGGTTTTATTCATGTAAACAGAACAACAATTATTCTTTGACTTAAATGAATAACTGTATTGCAATAAACATGATCCAATCATATTATGCTCAACATAAACACCAAATAACATTTATTTTAGGTTCAACACTAATCCCGAAGGTAAAGGGAGTGTGCGATGGTGATCTTATCAACCTTGGAATTACTTCCAACACACATCGTCACCTCGCCCTCAACTAGTCTATGTTCATTTTGTAACTCCTGTTTCAAGTTACTAATCATAGCAGCTGAACCAGTATCAAATACCCAGGGGCTACTATGAACACTAGTAAAGTACACATCAATAACATGTATATCATATATACTTTTGTTCACTTCGCCATCCTTCTTATTCATCAAGTATTTGGGGCAGTTCCGCTTCTAGTGACCATTTCCTTTGCAGTAGAAGCACTCAGTTTCAGGCTTGGGTCTAGCTTTGGCTTCTTCATGGGAGTGGCAACTTTCTTGCCATTCTTCTTGAAGTTCTCTTTCTTTTCCTTGCCCTTTTACTTGAAACTAGTGGTCTTGTCAACCATCAACACTTGATGCTTTTTCTTGATTTCTACCTTCGCCGATTGCAGCATCGCGAAGAGCTTGGGAATCGTTTACGTCATCCCTTGCATATTATAGTTCATCACGAAGTTCTAGTAACTTGTTGATAGTGACTAAAGAACTTTGTTAATCACTATCTTATCTGGAAGATCAACTCCCACTTGATTCAAGCAATTGTAGTACCCAGACAATCTGAGCACATGCTCACTAGTTGAGCTATTCTCCTCCATCTTGTAGGCAAAATATTGTCATAGGTCTCATACCTCTCGACACGGGCATGAGTCTGAAATAATAATTTCAACTCTTGGAATATCTCATATGCTTCATGGCATTCAAAACGTTTTTGAAGTCCCAGTTTTAAGCCGTAAAGCATGGTTCACTAAACTATCAAGTAGTCATCATACCGATCTTTCCAAGCGTTCATAATGTCTGCATCTGCTCCTGCAATAGGTCCGTCACCTAGCGGCGCATTAAGGACATAATTCTTCTGTGCAGCAATGAGGATAATCCTCAGATCTCAGACCCAGTCCGTATCATTGCTACTATCATCTTTCAACTTATTTTCTCTAGGAACATATCAAAAAATAAAACAGGGGAGCTATACGCGAGCTATTGATCTATAACATAGATATGCAAAAACTACCAAGACTAAGTTTATGATAAATTAAAGTTCAATTAGTCATATTACTTAAGAACTCCCACTTAGATAGACATCTCTCTAATCATCTAAGTGATCACGTGATCCATATCAACTAAACCATGTCCGATCATCACGTGAGATGTAGTAGTTTTTAATGGTGAACATCACTATGTTGATCATATCTACTATATGATTCACACTCGACCTTACGGTCTCAGTGTTCCGAGGCCATATCTACATATGCTAGGCTCGTCAAGTTTAACCCGAGTATTCTGCGTGTGCAAAACTGGCTTGCACCCGTTGTATGTGAAAGTAGAGCTTATCACACCAAATCATCACATGGTGTCTCGGCACGACGAACTGTAGCAACGGTGCATACTCAGGGAGAACACTTATACCTTGAAATTTAGTGAGAGATCATCTTATAATGCTACCATCGTACTAAGCAAAATAAGATGCATAAAGGATAAACATCACATGCAATCAATATAAGTATATGAAATGGCCATCATCATCTCGTGCCTCTGATCTCCATCTCCAAAGCACCGCCATGATCACCGTCTTGACACCTTGATCTCCATCGTAGCATCGTTGTTGTTTCACCAACTATTGCTTCCACGACTATCGCTACCGCTTAGTGATAAAGTAAAGCAATTACATGGTGATTGCATTTCATACAATAAAGCGACAACCATATTGCTCCTGCAGGTGTAAAAAACCATATGGCTCCTGCCAGTTGCCGATAACTGTGTTACAAAACATGATCATCTCATACAACAATTTATATAATCACGTCATGACCATATCACATCACAACGTGCCCTGCAAAAACAAGTTGGACGTCCTCTACTTTGTTGTTGCAAGTTTTACATGGCTGCCACGGGCTTAGCAAGAACCGTTCTTACCTACTCATCAAAAACCACAACGCGGTATAGTGATTGCTTTTTGATCTTCAGAAAGAACCATGTTCATTGAATCTGATTCAACTAAAGTTGGAGAAAATGACACCCGCCAGCCACCTGTGTGCAAAGCATGTCGGTAGAACAAGTCTCATGAACGCGGTCATGTAATGTCGGTCCGGGCCGCCTCATCCAACAATACCGCCGAATCAAGAAACAACTAGTGACCGCAAGCAATATGTATATACCCACGCCCACAACTTTTTTGTGTTCTACTCGTGCATATAACATCTACGCATAGACCAGGCTCTGATGCCACTGTTGGGGACGTAGTATTTCAAAAAATTCCTACGATCACGCAAGATCTATCTAGGAGATGCATAGCAACGAGAGGGGAGAGTGTGTCTACGTACCCTCGCAGACCGAAAGCGGAAGCGTTATGCAACGTGGTTGATGTAGCCGAGCGTCTTCGCGATCCAACCGATCAAGTACCGAACGTACGACACCTCCGCGATCTGCACACGTTCAGCTCGGTGACGTCCCTCGAACTCTTGAGATCCAGCTGAGGCCGAGGGAGAGTTTTGTCAGCACGACAACGTGGTGACGGTGATGATGAAGTTACCGACGCAGGGCTTCGCCTAAGCACTACGACGATATGACTGAGGTGTGTTTCTGTGGAGGCGGGCACCGCGCACGGCTAAGAGAAACTTTGGTGTGTCTTTGGGGTGCCCCTGCCCACGTATATAAAGGAGGGGGGAAGAGGAGGCCGGCCTAGGAGGGGCGCGCCTATAGGGGGAGTCCAAGTAGGATTCCCAATCCTATCCTAGTTGGAGTCCCCTTCCTTTTCCAAGAGGGGAGAGAGGGAAGGAGCAGGAGAGGGAGAAGGATAGAGAAGGGGGGCGCCGCCCCCTCCCTAGTCCAATTCGGACTTGCCATGGAGGGCGATCATCCCTTGAGGCCCTTCTCTCCTTTTCCGTATGGCCCATTAAGGTCCACTACTTCCCCCGACGAATTCCCGTAACTCTCCGGTACTCCAAAAAATACCCGAATCACTTGGAACCTTTCCGATGTCCGAATATAGCCTTCCAGTATATTAATCTTTACATCTCGACCATTTCGAGACTCCTATTCATGTCTGTGATCTCATCCGGGACTCCAAACAACCTTCGGTACATCAAATCACATAACTCATAATACAAATCGTCATTGAACGTTAAGCGTGCGGACCCTACGAGTTCGAGAACTATATAGACATGACCGAGACATATCTCCGGTCAATAACCAATAGCGGAACCTAGATGCTCATATTGGCTCCTACATATTCTACGAAGATCTTTATCGGTCAAACCGCATAATAACAAATGTTGTTCCCTTTGTCATCGGTATGTTACTTGCCCGAGATTCGATCGTCGTTATCCTCATACCTAGTTCAATCTCGTTACCGGCAAGTCTCTTTACTCGTTCCGTAATGCATCATCCTGTAACTAACTCTTTAGTCACATTGCTTGCAAGGCTTATAGTGATGAGCATTACCGAGAGGGCCCAGTGATACCTCTCCGACAATCGAAGTGAAAAATCCTAATCTCGATCTATGTCAACTCAACAAACACCATCAGAGACACCTGTAGAGCATCTTTATAATCACCCAGTTACGTTGTGACGTTTGATAGCACACTAAGTGTTCCTCCGGTATTCGAGAGTTGCATAATCTCATAGTCAGAAGAACATGTATAAGTAATGAAGAAAGCAATAGCAACAAACTAAACGATCATAGTGCTAAGCTAACAGATTGGCCTTGTCCATCACATCATTCTCTAATGATGCGATCCCGTTCATCAAATGACAACACATGTCTATGGCTAGGAAACTTAACCATCTTTGATTAACGAGCTAGTCAAGTAGAGGCATACTAGGGACACTCTGTTTGTCTATGTATTCACACATGTATCAAGTTTCCGGTTAATACAATTCTAGCATGAATAATAAACATTTATCATGATATGAGGAAATATAAATAATAACTTTATTATTGCCTCTAGGGCATATTTCCTTCACCCCGTCCCCATCCCAGTCGGTGGCCGTGACCATGAGCAGCTCCTATGTTTTTTATTCCAAATTTTTCATCTAGATTTGCTATGAGCGGCTGCCAATGTATAACGTTTTCATACTGATTTGCTATGAGCTGTTGCTTATATATGGTAGAACTAATTTTGATATAGATGTGCTGATTGTGCCTGGTACAGGATTGTTGCCCTCTGATTGCTACCATTTCATTTGCATAGAAGAAACATTGATGGCTTGTGTGTATGCTACCATATAGTATTTCAATTAGAAGAAATATTGATGGGAGAATCATGTAATAATTTGAAGATCTTTTCTAGTATTCATGTGTTCTTCTCAAGTACTCGTACGTGAGACCATGATGCATGTATGATATTCGTATGTCAGACAATTATCTTCCTTATGTTTGATTATAACATACTTTGGTGTTTTGAAGTCGAATTCATGTTCTTAGTTACAGGCAGCAAAATGCTGAAAAAAATAACACAATATCATTTAATCAGAACAACAATATAGTACAAGGGTATTATAGACTTTTGATTGATCATACCACGGATAATAAGATAAAAATAGGCACTGAAAAGAATTGACTAGCTTATTATTTGGAGCTTCTTTTTAAGCAAGCTTACCCGGAGCTTATTTGGACGGGATAGCTCAAAAGAACTGGCCCTTATTTAGGTGGCACGATGACGGTGGCATGCAGCCACAGGTCGCTCTTCCTCTTCGCCGTGATCCCGAACGCCTCCGCCATGTCCAGCTCATCCGTGCCCCCAGGGAGCTCCCAGTCGAAATGGAAGAGGAGGCTCGCCAACGCGAGCTCTATGATGGCGAGCCCGAACGTAATCCCGGGGCAAATCCTCCGCCCCGCGCCGAACGGCACGAGCTCGAAGTCCGCACCCCGGAAGTCCACCGCCGCGGCGGCCCCCTCCTCGAACCTCTCCGGCCGGAACTCCTCGGCGTCCGGGCCCCAGCTCGCCTCGTCCCGGCCGATGGCCCACGCGTTGACCAGCACCATTGCGCCCTGCGGCACGTCATAACCGAGGACACGGCTGGGCTCGCGGCACTCCCGCGGGAGGAGCAGCGGCCCCACCGCGTGCAGCCGGAGCGTCTCCTTGATCACCCTCCGCAAGTACGGCAGCTCATGCATGGACTCCTCCCCGACACGGCTCTGCCCGGCGAGCGCGCCGCGCACCTCCGCCTGCGCCCTCCTGAGCGCCGCCGGGTTCCGCATCAGCTCCGCCATGGCCCACTGCAGCGTCGACGCGGAGGTCTCGCTACCGGCCCCGATGAGGTCCCTTATCACGGCACGGATGGTCGGGATGTCCATAGGCGCACCGCCGCCGCCGTCCAGAAGCACGTCAAGGATGTCCTCTTCTTCCTCGCGGCCGACGCCCGCCGCCTTCCTCGCGCGTTTCTCCTTGATGACGGCGTCCATGAGCCGGGACATCTCTCCGAACACCGCCTCCACCCGGCGCGCCGTCCCGCTGAGCGCACGCGCAAGGCGCGACGACGGGAACATGTCGGCAAGGCTGAACCCGGCGGCCACCCTGACAGTTTCGTCCAGGCACGCCAGGAAGGCGTCGCGGTCCGCGATCCGGTCTCCGACCACGGCGCGCACCGCGGCGTCGGCGACGTACGTGGCGACGAGGGAGCTGACGTTCACAGCGGCTCCGGACGCCGCCTCCGCGGCCACGGACGCGACGAGGACGGCGGCCTCAGCTTCGCGAGTCCCCCGGAACGTCCGTACGCGTGGCGCGCTGAGCAGCTCCGTGACGCAGAGCTTGCGGACGGCGCGCCAGTGCTCGCCGTGCGGCGCGAGGGCGATGCCGAGGCCGTCGGCGGTGAGGCTGGCGGTGGTGTTCGTTCGCGGCCGCGTGGCGAAGGCGGCGTCGTGGGTCTTCATCACCTCCTTGGCCGTGGCCGCCGACGAGGCCACCACGACGGGGAGCTCGCCCATGCGGAGCAGCATGAGCGGGCCGTGCCGGAGGGCGAGGTCGCGCATGGCATGGTGCGGGAGCGCGCCGACGAGGTGGTGCATGCTGCCGATCACCGGCAGCTGCCATGGACCAGGAGGCGGGTTCAGAGGCATGCCAACGTGCTTGCGACGTCGCCTGAGCTGAGCTTGACGAGGAGGAGACGAGGGAGCAGTAGGATGGCGGCGGCAAGAGGAGGTGGCGATGGTTCTCGGTGGTTGCCATGGCCTGGGCCAACCAAGCGTAGTTTATGTAGGAGCAACCCAGCAAGTAGCTGCTCTCAAAATGGTAGGTGGTGCCGGCGGATGCCATTTGAGCACCTAGCAGAGATGCTTGCTTAGCTCCGTTCCAAAAAGGATCATCTTTCAGGACTATACATGCTGCTTTTCGTCAGAGCTGTCTAGATCATCACCGGTTAGAGTAGTTCATGCATTATTGACTATTTGGAAATCAGCATTTTGTCAATTTTGCATAGCTCACATGTTTACTTATTTCATCACAAAACTTTACACATATGTAATATACTCCCTCCGGATCTTTTTAGTTCGCATATAAGATTTGTCTAAAGTCAAGCATCTTAAAGTTTGATCAACATTATAGAACAAAATACCAACATTCACAATATGAAATAAATATCAGTACATGTGTCATGACTTTAATTTTCATATTATATAACTTTAGCATGCTAGATGTTGATATTTTTTCATATAAATAAGGTCAAACTTTATGAAGTTTGACTTCAGACAATTCTTATATGCAGAGCAAAAAGGACCGGAATGAGTACATACATATAAACACGCGGAATTCTTTTCGGAATTTTTTAAAATTTAAGTGTGATTTATAAAGTATTTAAAATAAGGTCCTCCAATACACCCAGCTTCCAAAAATCCACTTAGATCAATAACTTTCTTATGTGTATAGTTTGAGTTCGGCACATGTATATATGCTCATTGAGAGCCAACTGAAATCATGTGCTGTCAGACCTAAAATCAAGTGGTGGCGAGCCCATTGATAAATCTGCTTGCAATTTTAGACAATTATAGCTTAGTATTAACAAAGGATAATTTGGCGAAAATGAGATGGATTGGTAAAAAAAAAGCACCGCCCATTTTGGGGCAGGGAAGAAGGAATTCATCACCTGTTCATGCAATGCACTATTTCCAGAATGTTACGGAATATCCCAAAATGTGCTTTTTTTTGCGGAGGAGCTCACTACCGGAAAACGGGCATACGCCGACGGCCAAACCTATGCCTACGGCATCGGCCTAGTTTGAGATATGCCGACAGCCCAGTCCTGGCCGTCGGCTTACACTGGCCGTCGGGTTACGTGGATCTATGCCGACGGCCGCCGTCGGCACAGAACGGCCGTCGACCTAGCCGCAGACATGCCGACAGCAGCCGTCGGCATAAATCTGTCGTTGGTATAACTGTGGGCCCGGCGACCCCGCCCATGACTAGCGGCTAACGCCGTCAAACCTATGCCGACGGTCGGGAAGGGCGGCCGTCGGCATATCTCCGCATGCCACGTCACTGATCCGCGGCGTAGGTATGCCGACGACAGCCGTCGGCATATCTGCCACGTCACCGATCCGCGACACGGCGCCCACCGGAACTCTGCCGTATCAGCCGTCAGCATAGCTATTTTTTTACATACTTTTTTTGCATATGTTTTAATGCTTTTTTTACATACGTTTTTTTGCATATGTTTTTATGCTTTTAAAAAAATATGTGTTCATGCTTTTTTATGTATTATATGAATATATATGTAGTTTGTAATTTTTTCCATAGATTATGAACATATATATATATATAGTTTGTATTTTTTCGAGCACATTAATAATATGCTGTCATTTTCTTTTGAATATAGGACCTTAAATTTTATTAAAATCAGAAACAGCTATGCGATAGAAGTTGAGTGACGGTTGCAAACGCCCGGCACCCGTCTCCGGGGTGTGACCCCCTCACGTCCGCGGTGTGCCCCCCTCATGGACGGCGCCGCCGCCAGCATCTGGAGGGCGGAAACAGCCGCATCGGGTCTATACGGAGGGGACGTTGCTCTCAAGTGTTTCTATGGGATGACCTACCACAACCGGGTGGTGTTGTGGCATGTTCGAAGAGGCGGCACGCATCTCCGGGGCGTGGCCCCCCTAACGGACGGCGCCGCCGGCACCTGGAGGGGGAAAACGGACGCATCGGGTCTACACGGAGGGGATGTAGCTGTCGGTTTGGCCCGGATGTTGCTCCCAGGTGTCCCTCTGAGCTGACCTGACACAACCGGGTGGAGAGGTCCACCGTTCAAAGCCCGTCCGTGAAAAGTCAAAGGGCTAGATCTCGTGGTCAACCGCTCCAGGGTTAGGCGGGACGAGGGCCCTGAGGGGGTAGCAATGCCACCGGAGCGTCGCACTGGCCCCTCATACATGCGGTGTGGTGTGGTGGCATGTCCGAAGAGGTGGCACGCGTCTCCGGGGTTTGGCCCCCCTCACGGACGGC